TAAGCATACAGGATTTTTAGGGAGATGAAGGTGGCTGAAGAGACGAGGTTAGAGAAGGGGCAGGACCTGGGCTGTACCATGAGTGATCATGGGGTTTGATGGCTAGAAAAGGCGAGGTCTCTCATGGCACAGGGACCACTACCACCTCAAACTAACATCATCAGCGTTCACTATGCGCCAGGCACTGTTCCAAGAGCTTTGCACACATTCCTCCTGTCCCCATTGTCCCCCAAATCTGTTCATCCTATTTAACAAAGGAAGAAAATAGGGAACAAGGAGGTTAAGTCATTTGTCCAAACCCCACATGTACTAAGTGGTAGAGTTTGGATTCAAATTCAACTCTACCTCCAAAACCTGTGCTTAACCACTGTCTTATGGTGAAGTTTTGGAGGCAAAGAGGTGGTGGCACTTTCTCCTAGGACAACAGAGAAATTCCCAACCAAAGGAGAGGATCCATGTTGGCAGCAGTGGGAAACGAGTTTGGGTGGAAGGGTTCTGATTCCCAGCTCCTTTCCCCGACTCAGAAGAATTATGCTATAGGGCACAAAGATGCTTTCCTTGTTAGTGGGCAAGTGAGTATTGAAATGGGCTGCTTTGTTTCACTACTCTGTGCAGCAGGTTATCAGGCAGGTCTTCAGGATAGGGAACAATAACACGGGCAGGAGGTCCTAAGGCCAAGCTTACACCCTCAAAGCCAGCCTGACTCACTCACCTCTTCCAGGAAGGGCAGCAAGAAGTCCCGAGTGGCATTATTTGAGGTGAAGAAGCCATGCACAGCCTTATACAGAACATAGTGGTTGAGGCGGCGTGATGTGGAAGGCAGCATCCGCAGGGCCCTCAGCACGAATCGTGGCTCCTTGCCGGACACTGCCTTCTCCAGCTGCTTCACATGCTCCTTGATGTCTGTGGAGGACCAGAGGAGAGAAATATGTTACTTCCGACTCCTCCTGTTCCCCCACCGCTCCAGGCAAGAAGTTCTAGGGAACCTCTGGGATGTGGCCAATCTCTTTTTTTGCCCTGATAGGGTTAAGCGATGCTTATGGATGCCATACACTTATTTTAAGATATAACCAAGAGACAAAGAAAAATAAAGCTGGGGTGGGGGAAGTAGTAGTAGACAGTGACAGAAAGGGGAAGAGAGGGAGAAAACGATGAGAAGCAAAACAAATGTGGAGATTTATCAGGCTCTCTAAATAGGAAAAGTCTTTCTAAATGTAAACAATGACAGAAATCACACACACAAAAAAAAAGGTTGATGAACTTGACTTCTTAAATAAAAAACCTTCTGAATATGTGTAAACAAAAGAAAAACATTTGCAACAAATTTGACCAAATGTTCATATTCTACAGTCTGTATAAGCAATTAGATTAAATAAAAATGAACACGAAAGGATAATACACAGAGGAAAAACAAATGGGTAATAGACATGAACAATATATTTCACTAGTATTCAAATTTCAATGGAAATATTTTTCAACTGCCAAATAAATGATTTTTAAAAAATAGTAACATATAGAGTACAGGGGTGAACAGGACATTTCTGCTGGAGTAATGTAAATCAGTAGTTTCTCAGGACACCTACTCAAAACCTTAAAAACGTTTACCCTTTCAACTCAGACATATAGAAAATCTATACTGAAATAATTTTAAAGGTTGATTTAACTTTTGGGCATAAAGATGATTGTTGCAAGAGTATTTATAACAGTAAGGAACTGGGAACAACTTAAATGTCCAAGAATAAGGGAATGCAACCTAATCGGTAGCTTCTTAGTTACCTTTGTATACTTAGAGCATAGGGTGCCTGGGTCACATTAATGATCTAATGATAAAAGCTAGTAATGAGAGGGTTTACTTTGGGCTCATCATGCACTAGGCGCAGTTCTAGGCATTTTAATCTTCATAACCCAATGAAGTAGGTGCTATTACTTTCATTTATAGAAATAAGGAAACTAATTCCAGAGCTTGTATTCTTAAGCCACTATATCAGACATTCCATAATGTTTCTGAAATGAATTCAGTGCTATGTTTATGGATATGTTAAATGAAAGCACACAAAATCATCTGTATTTACTTATGCCTTGTTCCAAACTATATATATAACTTTATTTATGGGTGAACTGAAAAATTCATAGAAAAAATGTTAACTATGGTTTATGTTTTCACCTGCCAATTTAGACTGCTCATATTTTCCAAAACTTTTACAATGAACATCTTTGTCATTGGCTGACTACCATTATTTTAGGTAAAAGGATCTTTATTAGATTCTGAGCCTGTTGCCCAACTTTAGAGCAGGAGCTGCTGCAGTCAACACTACCACAGCCTCAAAAACACAATTCAGGAGTCAATGTTTAAGAGCTACATTCTCATGCAGTTAGAGAGAAAACCCAACAAATAGCCTGTCACACCTGATCCAGAACTGGGAAACCACAACCAGGATCACAGTGGGAAGCTCTCACTCTACCCACATTCAATGTGGACTGGATGCTCTAAGCAGGCAAAGTGAAATGCTAACTTGGAGGTACAAGAAGACAGTAGGAAAACTGGGAACAGGCACCCAGGAGAAAAGAAATGGGGAGACTGGCATATAGTTCAGGTGGAAGGTATTAGGAACTCAAAAGAAGATGACATCTAGAGAAAGTGTGTAATTGTGTTTAAACCCTTTAGAAACGGAGTAGAAGTAAGGGCTTGAAGGGTGAGGAAAAGAGCAATGGGACCGTTTGGGAACCTCAATTAACAGTAACATGTAAATAAGATACTAGGTAGAAAAGGTTCCTTTAGGGGAGTTTGCTAAAGGCGGCTAAGACCACAGAAACCTTTTGTATATTCCTGTAACTCCGGGGCCATTATTCTGTCATCCCGACCCCTTCAGATACGTAAATACAAACAACTAATTTCTAGAGGCAACAATCATATACCGGGTCACTTGAATCGGTCCAGTGGGATGTAAATGGGGCAGGTCGGAGGGGAGGACTTGGAAGAGGGAGTCTACAGGCTCAGGGAGACCTAGTTCCAGATGCAAGCTCAGATGCGGAGAGGAGGCGTTGTACGAGCGAGGAGGCCTGAGCTGGGGAGAAGGTTCGGTGACGGGCACTGGGGTCGGGGGTGTCAGGGTACTGGGGGTCACTGGGGGGTGATCCTAAGAAACCGGGGATCCCAAGGAGAGGCTGGATCACCGGGGCGCTGTCACCCGTAATGGTGGCTCTCGTACCCTCCAAGGTGACGGTGTCCAGCTCTCGCTGGGAGTGCTCAGCCGCCGCCGCCTTGCCGTCAGCTTCCCCCGTTGACCCGCCACCCGCCGTCGCCTCCTCTTTCATCTCCACGTCTTGGGGGGCCGGCGGCGGCGGTGGTTCTTGCTCTCCTCCGCCGGGTGGTGGCTTCGCCTTGTCCGCGCCGCGGCGCCGCGCCGAGCCCTCCTGCTTCATGGCGCCCGGGGTCGCGGCCTAGTCCGGGGCCTCGCGTGAACCCTCGTACCAGAGACCAGGAACCAAGCTGGGCCTGCACAGAGCCCGGACTCGCGTCCTGCCGCACGATGACGGAGCAGCTGCAAAACCCTTCCCGGCGCTGGGCCTTCTGGGAAACGCCAGGCCCGCGGGGCCGATGGCCGAGTTAACAAAGGGGAAAGAAATCAACAGCCGGAGTGCAGGATGGAGGCGGTTCTTCGAGGCAGCAGCGGGGAGGAGCCTGTTTGGGTTTGGGGGCTATCCTCGCTGAGTGCCTGCTGTGTTGATTTCAAGTTCCCCTCGAGTGCATTTCCGAGCATGTCCACTAGAGGTCCCTTCAGGCTCCAGTCTGGTTACACCGGCGAGGAGTGGAAGGACCAATCGGAGCGCCGGGTATGGTGACGTCACGAGTTGCCTGGAAGGTTTCTTGTCCAAACTCGTTGGATTTGTGCCCGGCTGGGTCGCCTTCGAGGTTCGCGAGGCTCGTCCTCAGCGGCCTCCCACTGCAACCGGTACGAGGGAAGAAAAGCTGCGAGACAGGGATGTGGAGCTAGGCTATTGGACTTAAAATAAAACCGAACTGGAGAGTAGGAAGAACCCTAGGGGGTTCAGATTTCCCTGTAGGATTTTAGCTAGTACTGAAAATAAGGCATTAAATCTCCGCAGCCTGGGAGTGCGAATTGGGGAAGAGTGCATTTGTGTACAGACACTCTAGTTGAATAAAATGTAGCGGTCCACTCTTACATGTCGCCCAGGGCTAGTACAATCGAGGGGCGCGGTGGTAAGAAACAGCTCCATGACGTACCCTGCTGGAAGCTCTGCTCTGTATTGTGAAGCAAGAGGAAAGCGTGGAAGTTCTAATGGCAGAGGCTTCGAGGAGTCCGGTGGGGCTCCTGTACACATCCAGATACTGTGGTGAAATGGGGAACAGAATAATTGTGTACCTAAAGAGAACTTAAGACTCCCCCAGGGGAAGGAAATTGGATCAGAAACCCTTTCCACTTATTTTTCAAAGTTACCTTCCGGTGATTCTGCAGGAGAATACAGATTCCAATTTCTTATGACACAAAACAAAAACTTGGCCCCTCTCTTGGAACCTTTATCTCTTCCATAAGCGGAAGTCCTGAGTTTTAGATCAGGTCAGACCCTACAGGACAAAACAGTCCTGTTGTAGGGTCCTGGAAGACAGAGAATATGGTTTGACCATATTCTCTTTTATATTTATATATAGAGAGGATAGTCTTGTATCGTCCCTTTCACACTATTGCAGCAAATAGCTCCTCGTGCTAAAGCCACTTGCTAAGTGGAAAAGTGTGTACTTCCGTTTTAGGGAACATGCCTTAACCAATTCTTCGTTAACTGTTCCCCAGAACATGTCTTGACCAATTCTTCCTTAACTGTCCCCATTCCCCCTAGGGCTAGGGGATGGATAACAGGAGTTTTAAATCATGACTGGCATAAACTCATTAAAGTTTCTTCTTCATAACACTGTATCTGTAACTGAAGGTGGGCGAGAATGGTAAAGGAAGAAAACAGACAAGCTTTGTTGTTCATCCATATCAAGTTACCCTTCTGGATAGTTAGGGTGTTAGCTCACCTCTTTATTAAGTTTACATCACAAGAGAATAACAATCAAGTCAGCAGCTAATTACTCAGTGTGTCTTTGAGCAATATAGCGAGACCTTGGAAAATACCCCAGAATGGGGGAGGATGGCTCAACGTAAAGCTTTTGGCAGTTTGTCCTGAATTCTTGGTGAGTGAGGGAACTAGCCAGGACAGGGGGTGACTCAGAAGGGAGAAAGTCTGTCTCCTGGAGCCGAAAAACTTGGACAAATTATTCCACCCATAGAACTATTTTAAAGGAGATCGATGAAAGATTAAAATCCAGCTGTAGTGGTATGAACCCAGCAGTTTTATGGGATTGCAGCATCCATATCTGCAGGTCCATATGCCAAGCCTACCCACATCACTTCCTCCTACAACCATTCTGAATTGAGGTCAGAAGAGGGGAAGGTGAAATAAGATAATATCACAATTTCTTTTTTAGAAGTTTTGGGTCTTACTCTTGTGTATCGTTTTTTAAAAAAAAGATCTATTTGCATTTTCTATTCGATAAACTTGAAAGTTGTCTTACTCTTGTTTTGGGCTTGTACCATATATCTCTATGTCTCCAGTCCCTCAACCCTAGTCCAGAGGACCCCAAAGACTCTGCTTTGAAGACAAGCTGCTTTGATGATCTTCTCATTTTGGAATCTACATTCCACATCTACACCCTTGTAGTTCCTCTCCAAGCATTTTCAAGCTGGCCTGATGACAGTATAATAGAATTCCTGTACATATGACCTACATGTAGGATAATAATAGCTTTTCTTCCTGGCACACGTTAAGGATTTCCTTTATGATAAATTCTTTAAAGAAAAACACCAAAAGATGTTTCATGCAAAGTGAAATCATATTTCCGCTAATTACAGTAATGTTTGATTTTTAGAAGAGCAAGTAGGAGGGATTGGGATAAGAAATTAAGTCATTAATTGTGGTTTTGTTGAAATGGTTCATAGTTTTAAAGGTTCGAGTGTTTCTACTTTTAGAGGAGTTAAGCATCAGCAGATGGACTTAGCAGGTTGCAGAGCCAGAGAGGCAGGGGGAGTTATAGAGGTGAACTGGTGGAAATTGGTCATCTTGAGTCTTGAGTCATCATCTAGGGTTTCCATCATCCTCAGCCTGGTGGCTCTGAAATGCCTTGGGTGTTAAGGACACAGCACAGTGATGTTGGGAAGGCATTAGGGAAGCGGGAAACAGATGGAAAGGCTAGTTAGGAGGCCTTGGTCAGCAGCTGCAGGAAGGAGAGGCTGGCATAGAGGGCACAGAGGTGAGGGAGGGTATCTGGGTCCCACAGGTACTGGGGGCCTGATCTCTGCACTTCCAGGCCACTCAGCCCCACTAGGGCCTCTGTGAGAGTCAGGTCCTCTTCTCCAAGGGAGGCGAGCAGGTCAGGTTGCAGGGGGAAAACACCCTCTTTATCATGTAGGAAATTCTGTTCCATTATACTCTCCACCTAGAAGGAACCAAAATAACATGAAAAGAAAGAACTAGAAACCTCTCTTCATTTCTCCTAACTCATAAAAACTACGAAGAGGGCTACCTTTCTCTTTTTATAACTCCTTTCATTACATTACATTACATTACATCACAACTCCATTTGGGCCTTTTAACAACCCTGTACAGTGGGCAGCTCATTTATTTTTAGGTCTATTTTGCAGAGGAGTGAATTGAAGCAGACTCAGAGACATTAAAAGATTTGCTCTGTCTTCTCTCAAGATCAGGCTGAAAAACCCAGATAATTGGCCAGAAATTTATTCTCTTACCTCTAGTTGTGAAATAAGAAAAAAGGAAGAAACATGGAGAGAAACGAGAAGGGGGCATGAGCTCCTGGAACAAGACAGAGGCCCCCTAGGATGGTCTGTCATTAGGCTAAATCTGTGTCTCTCCACTGGTTCTAGCTGACTCCCTCCCAAACTCTCCCGAGCATCTGCCACTTTTTCTCACCAGCTTTAGCTCTACCGGTAGGATCTTTTTCTCCGTGGATTTTACCAGCAGCTTCTGTTGGGCTTCACTTAGCTCTGGAGAAAAAGCAGAGAAGGAGATGTGTGTATTTGGTACAAAGAGAACTCCAGACTCCAGATGGGGTACATCCGTAATTGTAGCATTAATGAATTCATACATTTATCCATGGTTGAACACCTGCTCCATGCCAGGTCCCTTTGCTAGGTGTGTTAGGGAAAAATCATACTGTCTTCACTCAAAGAACATGTAGGCTGGTGGAGAAGACAAAGTATGTGCAATACAGTACAAGGTGTTAAGGAAGCCATAGCTGAGGGCTCTGCTTTGGCCCTGGTCTTTGAGGGTAGGTGTCTTAAGGGAACTATTATCTCAGCTAACATCGGAGGACCAAAGAGTTTTTCTAAGTGGGAGACTGCTTCATGCAGAGGGAAAGTCAAAAGATGTGCCCTCTGAAATTAAAGTTAACAAATATCAATATAAGAGTGGTGATCTTAGTTGTATGTAGAAGTTTTAAATATGTGGCTGATTAAACTAGGGTTATTTCCTAACCTTTATTAGCATGATTAGGCCATCTTCTCACATTATCCAAGGTGACCATGTGAATCCTTAGGAATGAAACCTATTTTTTAAAAGGTGGATATAAACTACTTAATTGTAGTATAATTTGTCTGGCATTCATTCATTCATATACTTGGGAATTCATTCAGTGATTCATTCCTATCACTAAAAAGGTATATGAATGAAGACCTTATTCCTCACTTACCTGTTAGAGCCCCAAGGAAATAGAGGACCGCACCCATAGCCTCCTTTGATCGTAGGACATCTTTCGGGAGTGCCTCCAGGGTCACTTCATGTCCTTTGTCCAAAGCCCCCTCGAGCTGTGGGGAAAGGTGGGTAACTATTTAAGACGAACATGGGTGAGGATCCCAGCACCATGCCTGGCACATAACAATCCCTGAAGATGCGCTGTCTCCCATTTTCTTGTTTCTTTTTCAAGACATCAAGTCCTGAAAAGCATCAGACTCCTGAATTCCTTAGTCCCTGAGCCCTGACTCTGCAAAGAAAAGGTTTCAGCCCCCTTCCAAGAGAGGGCTCCACTGGTCTGCTGCCTACCCTCTGTCCATCAGGAGAGAGCATGTGCTTAGGGGGAACCCGAGCTGTTTGCCCGTTCCCAGAGGCACCAAGCGAGCAGGAGCAGCCTGGCAGGCATGTGGCCAGCCTTGAGGAAGCACATGCTGTAGATTCCCCTGGCCCTGCCCCCTTCCCGTCAGTGTCTGGGTGCCCACCAGCTGTCACTCCCACACACACCACCCCAAAAGCCTCCCTTCTCCCAAGCCCCACCCTTCCCTGGGACCTCACACTGAGCTCCACGTCTTGTAGCTCCTTTTTCTTCCCTAGGAGTTTGCTGAGGCAGGTGAGCAGGGAGCTTTGCCCTACTCGGCTCAGCTTCTCCACTTCTAGGGTCTCTCTTTGAACCTCTTCTTGTAATGTCATGAAGTCCGTGGGGGCCTCCCCTATGGGCACAGTAAATGTCACAAACAAACCGCCCTCCATCTGGTCCCCCCCAATGGCTGGCCTTGTCCATGCAGGGTTCCTTCACCCAGGCCTTCTCAGGTCCTCCTGCTCTGCTCCCAGCTTGATCTTGGCCTCTCTTTTTTTTTTGACCAAAGGAATATGGTTAGGAAGTTACCCACCCATCCTGACTTGAGGCATTGGGGGAGGTGGTTTGGGGAGAGGGGATGGACCAGGACCCATGTTATCATCTAAGGCAGCAGTTAATTCCCCTGAGATCCCAAGCCCCATTCCGTATCAGTAGACAGCTGACTTCCCTTTCTCTATGACTCCAGTGCAAAGTTGAGAAGGAAAGTCTATTTCCCCCTCTCATGAGTTAGTTGACAAGAAGAATGACGTTGGTGACTGAGAGGAGACAGGGATGGCTGGGTCTATATCCAGGCATGTGGGTAGATGAGGGATAGCTTGAACCTTGGCCTGACCCTCTAGGGAACTGGGATCCTAAGAACACATCCAGTCTGCTTTGGGAAGAGTGGCTTTCTGGAAGTGGCTCCAATCCCCAGGACCTGGGACTCAGCGTTGGTCTCCTCCTGGTCCCTGGCGCTTCTCCCACTGCCTTCATGACGAAGTCTTGGGAGGGACTCACAGAATTCCTTACCAACATCAGACACCAGGAAAACTGAGGAAAAAAAACCCCAAAAAGAATGTAATCCTCCAAGACAGTGACCATGCCCAGGGGATGAGACATGAGTGGGGATCAGGAAATCTTGTCTCCTGGGATACCCCAACCATCCTGAGGATACTATTGCTCCCCTTGTGGGAGGCAGCAGTAGGTCAGGAGAGAAGCTAATGCAGTCTGAAAAGGGGCACCTGGATTGGGTTGGCATCACTGTGACTCATGGGCCCCCACCCCAGGTGGTGGGTGACAGAACTACAGGTAACATGTGTGACGGGTTATAGCTACAAAAGGCCCTCGAAGGCCTGGGTGTCTTTTCCAAAGACTTTCCCCCTCCACTGCTTTTTCCTAAGCTATTGGAATTTGTGCTACATTTCAGGGACAATGGTTGGCTGAGACCTGCTCTGCCATGTTCCCTGTCATTTCCTCCAAGAAGGGAAGAAAAATATTAGAGTATTCAAATTCTGAGTCAAGAAAGTTACAGTGAAATGACAGGAAACACTTATGGCTGAACTTCTCTTCTGGTTTTTCTGAAGACAAATAATGCACATATGTCAGCATAAAACCTATTTGTGCCTTTTTATCTAGCTGCAGTTGTCAAGGCAGCTTATCAGAGATCATTACAAAAACACATGGCAGTTACGTTAGCTCATCCGCCCCCTGCAACTGGGAACACACACTACCTCCAAGTCTTATTTGTGCTTCCAATTGCGCCTTCTGTTCTCTGTCTTTCTCTCTCTCTCTCTCTCTCTCTCTCTGGCAGTATTTATATGCCTCTGTCTGTCTTTTCTAAAGTTAAATTGATATTTCTAGGGACTTGGGAAACAAAACCAGGGGTGCCTTGGGGGAATTATGGCATAGATTTTTAGGAGGTGTAGGATTTTAGCAGGGAATGTGGGGATAGACACATGTGGGGAGCAGGAAGTGATCTCTTACCTACAGGAGGGAAGGTTTGCATGTCGTCATTGTAGATATGTGGAATATCTGTAAGCAGCGAGAGGGGGAGAGCAAGAGACCCTTAGGAGCTACCCCACCTTTCCTTCTCCAGTCTCAAGTTTGTGGGCTCTGCTAAGCACTGGGGCCCTACCCTTAAATGCCTCCCCTAGTCCCCTGCTCTACTTCTTTTGCTGAAAGTTATCTTTTCTTCCTCTGTAAGTCCTTTTCTATAACACTATTTTCTACCATGCATTCTAGTACAGGCGTCTGCGTCTGTTTCCTCCACTGGCTGCAGACTGGAGGGCAGAGGCTATGCTCTTTTATCTCTGTGCCCTCTTCCCCTCACTGACATAGTGCCGAGCACACAGGAGGTGTTCAGAGCCCAGGGGTCCCTTTACTGCCTCTCTAGAGCAGCCCCTGCTGTTCTGTCCCTTGTACCACATTACAATACATCTCTTCACTCCTTCACTGACACCTTCACTCATTCCCTGATGCCTTAGAATTCTGTGGGTAATTCTTGTTTTGAGGGGGAACACATGCTGATGTCTGCTCACCCCATTCATTTTTGCCTTTGACCATCAGCTGTCTTACTCGAAAGGCCAGGATGCAGCCCTTGGGGATGGTTACAGCCTCCTTGTGGTTTATGGATCCCTAGGATTAGATAATAAGAATTTGTGAATCTGCAGAGATTCTAAGTATGAGTCATTGGGAGTGGGTGGTGGCGGAGTGGTGCGGGGCAGGCCTAAGCACCTTTGGGGAGATCAGAAGTTGGGACTCCTCCACTGGTGACCCTGACAGCCTTTCCACCCAGTGTGGACTCTGTGGAGTGAGCTTCAAAGAAGCTCTTCTGCTCATTTCCACTGATCATCCCTCTAATATAGGTGTATCTCTCTCTTCCTGTTTCAGACACACGAAGGAACTGGGCAGACCTGCTCCATCACCTGCCTGGACTCCTTGTCCCACCTTAGAGCTTCCATCCAGGCCCTGGTTCCTTCTTCCTCTTCACCATCTGTCCCATGCTCACCTCCTTCGGGAAGTCTTCCATGACTAATCCCTAATCCCAGTTTCAACTCACTCCTTGAATATTTATGCAAAACAGGTACAGGTATGTAGAGCATTACTTATTTACATTGAGTTTTCCAAGCCTGTGTCCTCTGGGCTTTAACCTCTGTGTCTCCTCCACAAGACTGAGAACTTTGTGAGAGCAAGGACGTCTCTCCTGCACAATGGGAGCACCATGAGGGAAAACCAATGACTAAGAGTTTCCCCCTTCCCCGAAAGCTCCCTGTGGCATCTGGCAGAGGGATCTGCCCATGCTGGGTGCCACTGACCAGAGAGAGCATTGTGTCTGGCCACCTGGGGCCTGGATCGTGAGGAGCAGGGAGAAGGAGTGGGTTCACTTCAGTGGGCACTGATCAGGCAAAGTTAACCCAGCCTCTGAGTTATGTGTATGTGAATATGTGCATGTGTCGGTGTGTGTTTGGAGCAAACCTGTAGCCCTAATGGGGCGAAGAATGGGAGGGAGAAACAACCCGCTGCTTTGCCGGCTCTCTCCAGAGTGACCTCCTGTACCGTCTCCACCACCTCCATCACCACGTACAGGTTCTCTCCTCGAGTCTGCATCTCCTTCAGGAATGGGTGCTCTGCTGCCAGTTTCCTGTGGCAGGAGAAACACGAGGGGGTCGCTCAGCGCCTATCAAACCGGGGCCATGCCTCGCTCTGCTGTCATTCACAGGCCTGGCGGGGTCAGGGACTGTGGGGTAAGACTGAAGCTGAAACCCAGACCTGCTCACGCACAGGGCAGCTGCCGAGTCTGGCTGCCACACCTATAAAGTGAGGATAATGACACCTGCCTCCAGGGTGTTGAGGGAGAAACTGGGTGCCTCTCTGGCCCAGCACCTGGTGCAGAATGGGGCCTTGTGGTCGCTTCATTCTGTCTTTTCGTGGGGCCCTGCCGTGGATTCCCCTCTCCTTCCTCCCTTCCAAGCCCTGTTCATCTCTTCCGGGGCCCTTCGTCTTTCATCTCTCACCCTCTCTCTTGTGGTCCACACCAGTTTTTGCTCTTCACTTGCTGACATATGCAAACATGGCCTTTGATCATGCTACTCCCTCAAGTTACCATTCTGCTCATTTCCTTCACTGCACTGGCAAATATCTCAAAAGACATACCCATACCCACTGCTTGTACTTGCTCAGTGTCCACTCCTCAATTCTTAAAAATTTGGCCTCTATTTCCACTCCTCGACTGAAACCACAATGACCTCCCACCCACCAAACTCAAAGACCTTCCCTAACTCTGTGCCATGTCGGGCCCTGCTGCTCCGTGGGACACTGTCTCCTGGTTTGGGATCACACTGTGCTATCCTGTTTCTGCTCTTACCTTTCTGGCTTCTGAATCCTATCCATTCTGCCTGTATTTCATCTTCTAGTTTCCTCGGTCCCCTAAGAGTTTATGTCCTTAAGATACTGTTCTCAGTTCTCTGCTTTCTGGACTTCCTCCAACAGTTCTCCCCCATTCCTATCGTTTTAATCTTTATGTTGCTCTTCCCACAGGCATCTTTACCTTGACTTCCCGCCTAAGCTCCAAACCCTCATTTCCAATTACCTTTAAAATTTTTTAATTGCAATGTAATTGATATTTGACATCGGATTGTTTTAGGTGAACAACATGATTTGATATAGGTATAAATTGAGAAACGATCACCACAGTAAGTTCAGTTAACATCCATCACCCCACGTAGTTACAAAACTTTTTTTCCTGTTGGATGGGAACTTTGAGGGTCTACTCTCTTAGCAAGTGTACCCTACAGTGCTGTTAACTATAGTCGTTCCTGGTGCCTGCTGAATGCTCTCAGCTGATGTCTCAGTGGAGACACAAACTCAAAATATCCAAGAAGAACTCACAATCTTTCTCTCCAGATCTGCTTCTGAACTCTGTCTTCCTGTTTCTATTAGCATCATTGCTTGGGTCAAATCTCAGAGTCATTTTTAAAAAAAAAATCTGATATACCTGATTCATTTATGTTAATAAAAATTGTATATCTTTAAGGCATACAAAGTGTTTTGATATACATACAGAAATGTAATTACTACAGTTAAGCTAATTAACATATCCATCTCTCACATAGTCACCATTTTTTGTGTATAGTGAGAGCTCCTGAAATCTACTGTCTTAGCAAATTTCCAGTATTATTAACATAGTTGTCATGTGTGTGTTAGAAGTCTATCAGAGTCCTCTTTGACAAAGCTCTCCCCTCCCTGCAGTCAGCTGCCAAGTCCGGTCCATTCTGCCTCCTCAGAGGCCTCTCATTCGTTCTTCCTCTTCAGTCTGACAGCTTCCCAGTTTGGGTCCTCATTTTACATCTCTGATGGACAGGGGCTCAGTGTCCTGCCTGGTCTGCCTGCTTCAAACCCCTACCCCTCATCCTCTTCCTCCATCTGGCCAGATTCATCACTGACACTTCAGAGCACTGCTAGGCTCTCCCTGGTGCCTACAGAATAGTTCCAGGTGCCTGACCAGGTGCCTGGGTCCTCCATGGTCTGGGCTCACCCTACATCTCCCACTGTTTCATTCATATCTCTTCTGCTCCTGCCAAACCAGCTATTCATGCTCTCCATAGGTTCTGAGATTTCTCACCTGTGCGCGTTTGTAAGGTCTTTCTCCCAGCCTTGCATGTATGATTTCTATTCATCTTTCAAGGCCTAGATTATGGGCTGCCTCCTCTGCGAAGTCTTCCTTCATTTCCCCAGCCAGAAGACACTCTGACCTGCCACAATACTCAGGCAAAGCCCTCCTGTGGCACTTAGCACTTCTTGCCTTGGATCATAGTTACTGTTGCACATATTCTCACACTTCTGATGGCAAAGTTCTTGGATAAAAATGTTTTAGTGCACCCCCAGCACCTAGCACGGTACTTTACACTCAGTGAGGCTACATAAATGTTTACTGGATGACTTTCCAAGCACCCCAGCCCTCTCTTCCTGCCTCCCATCCTCACCTCCTTTCAATCACTACTTAACTGCTTAAAAGTAATTTCCCCTATCAAGTCAAACATCTGAGGTGCCACAATGACATGGCTTCTGCCACCCTTTGTGTGCTGGGGCAGCATGGCCGAGGACTGCTGGGTATGTGTATGGGGCTGGGCAGATGGCTTCCTTTATGAGAGCAGAACACTGTGCTCAAGCTTCAGTAAGGAGCAATTAAGACTCCTTCCCTTTTTAGCATATTTCATAGAGTCTTAGGGTATGAAGGAACCCTAGGGGTTTTCATTTAACCCCATAATTTTTCAGGAAAGAAAACTAAAGTCACAAAAAGAAATAGTGACTTTTCCCTGGCCACACAGTAAGTTAATGTGAACACACTCACCCTTGTGTGTGTGTGACAGTGGGGAGGTGGTACTGGAGGTAGTGAAAGGACAGGGGTGGTGGGGGGTTAGGAAGTGGCCTGGATGCACCCACAGGTCATTCAAGAGCTCCCCTGTGGTGACCACATAGGTGAAGGTCAGGGCAGGAGGCCCTTCGCTTTAACTCAGAGCCCAAAGCACCTTACCACACCCCCGCCCCCCATCCAGGTGGCCCGCAGCCCCGCCCGCTCTCACCTCTCCTGGTGCAAGGCCTCCAGAGCCTTGGGAGCCACGCTGAGGGTCTGCACCTCCAGGGTGCTGCTCCGGGACAGCCCTGCCGTCCCCGTCACCTTGACTGTTTTTGGCACATCCACCTCTCCCTCCACTCGGGCATCCAGCATATTCTTAAAGCTGAAGTTCCCAGAGTCTGTTGGATCTGCAGGCAGGAGAGGACAGCGGGGGTAGACTGAGAGGCGTCCTTCCTCTCCTGCCCCCTCGGAGGACTTTGGGCTACATGACACCTAACAGGCGTAGAGGGGGCTTCATGTTCTTCTCATAGGCCAGCACCTGCCCCCGCCCTCGGTGCCCAACTCTACTCCTGAGGCTGACCTGAAGGCGTGCTGCCGGGTTCGAGCACATCCAGGAGGGTGTAGTCAGTGCGCACATACCGGGCACCCCAGAAGAGCGTGCTCTTCCTTTTCCTCAGCACCAGGCAGAAGGGGTGGAAGCGCTTGAAGTCGATGAGGCTGTCAAGGGGCGTCAGGTCCCCTCGAGGGTTTAGTTGTCTGGCCAGTGCCCGGGTGACATTTTCAAACATGGTCATTGTCTCTGTGGGGACAGGGAAGGAGGAGTGACAAGTGGGGGTGCCAGGACATGGTAAGGGCCCTGCAGAGAGAGGTCACACAGCCCTGGAGGACAGGGCACCCTTCAAGATGCCTGGAATTCTCAGAATGTCAGAGCTGGAAGGAAATAGGAGTTTTCATGTGATGACAAAATGAGGCCTTGAGCACTAAAACAACTTGCCTGAAGTCACACGGCTGGACTGAGAAGCCAGATGCACCCCACTTTTTTTGTCAAGGGCTCTTTTCTCATTCCACACTCATCTTCTTCAGACTTAGAGCCTGGCTGGAGCATTTCATGAGTGACGGAAGAAAAGCCCGTCTCACACAGCTGCGCCCACCTGTCTTTCCCAGAGAACAGTGGCATCCGGGACCTGGGGACCCCACTGTGGGCAGCCACCGCTGGTGCCGAGAGTCTGGGGAGGAGCTCACCTGCCCAGCTGCCCGCTCTTTGGGTGTGGGCGGGTTACATCCCTGTACTCTTCCTTCCACTGTGTCCTCCTCCTGGCTCGTGGTGGGAGCCAACGCATGTCCCTCTAGGTACTGCCCGGGAGAGGCAGGCATTTCAGTGCCCTTTGCCTCTGCTCCTTCTGCTTATAATGCTCCCTCTCAATCTAAAGAATCTTTATTCATCCTTTAAAACTTAATTCAGGTGACCTCCTCAGTGACCTCCTTCCCTCTCCCCTTCATGCAGCTAGTGACTCCATCCTGTGTCCCTAAAGCACATCATACATGCCCTTCTCAAACACCTGCAAGCTCCCATGGTTATGATCTGTTCACCTGACTCTCTTGCTACTCAGCTGTGACTCCCAGGGGGCAGGAAATGGGTCTTAGTCATCTCTGTAGCATCAGCACCAAGCACAGTGCCTGGCACAGACTTGGAGCTTGGCAATTGCGTGGGGAAAGAATGAATGAACAAATGAGGGGATGAATGTGGCTCTGGGAGACATCCACTGGGGTGAGGCCCTGGAGAACATGGGACGCATGAGATCTTGAGGTTCACAGTCTCAGGGCTCTGTCTTTGAGGCTCAAGTCCAGGTGCTCTGGCTGCGCAGCTGGCTGGGACAGCCAAATTACCCACTGGGTGCAAGGGACACACCGGCTGCCCTGAAACCTCCTCACCTCTGCTGCGGGTGCCTCATGGAGTCAGGGACGCAGGAGGCACTCACAGAGATGCATAAGGCTGTTCTGCCAAGCACATGAGCCCCAACGGGCCTTTTTCACCTTTCATTCCTGAGAGGGCCAGGATAGGCCTGGAGAACCTCCAGGGGCCAGCCAGATGAACCCGGGAAGGGCTTGGTGACCGCTGTCTCCTTACTAGAGAGGTGCTCATGGGCCACCTGCCCTTTTCTCCCTAAGGCCTATCAATATACTGAGCCCATTGGGTTCTAGGGAACTCCTAGGCCCTTCTCATCCCACCCATGCTCTGTTCAGCCCTAGAACACCCCCTGCCTCCTCTGCTGTCATCAAGTTCTTACCGGGGAGCAGCGCTAGGTCCCTGTTGGCAGCGGGGTTCGGGATGAGGGCCCAGGGCTCACTTGGTCTGTAGGTTGAGAGAGTGACTGTCCTTCACCAGGACAGGCTGCTGCTTTATGCCTCTGAGGAGGAAAGGATGTTGGCCTCCAGGGACCCCGCCTGCCCCAGTAACCCCACCCCCTCCTGCTGCACTTCCAGGAGAACAGCATCAACCTGTTCCACGTGTGCCCTGCCCCAGGCCCCAGGCCCTGGTCTCCTGGGGAGCTGCCATGCAGATGCCAGCATGGGAGGTGGGGGAGCCAGGGCCCAGAGACAGGTGGCAACTGAAGGTTAGCTTGATGGGTTGAGAGGAGAGGAAGGCAGGCACCGTCGGGAGAGAGCCTGTGGAAGGAGGCAGCAGAGAAGGTGTGTGTGTGTGTGTGTGTGTGTGAGAGGAGGGGAGGCATCTTCTGCCACCATCATGGTCATCAGGAAGCCTCCAGAATTTGTGATGAAACCTTGTGGGTGTGATAAGGGGATGAGAAATCCCGTGTGTCTGCAGATTCCACAGAGAGCAGAGCAGCTGAAAAGTTGTCCATCTTTCTGCTGGTCAGCCTGCATGTTAGCACCTTGCTCCATTTGCTTAGCTACATATACGTATCTACAGTACAGCTTGGCACGTATGTCTGCGTGGGCAGAGGTGGAGATAGACCAAATGGTTTCCTGTTGTTTCATGTTCAGTGTCTCTGCTCCTCATAGAATATTGTACACACACACACACACACACACACACACACACACACACACACCACACTTCTAGGCAGAGGCAGAGCAGAGTTAGGAAAGCCTAAATGCACGTCTGCTGTGGGACTTGAGGCATCTCACTGTAGGTCCCTCAGGTCTTGCTCATATTTAAGTCCTTGCCTGGAAGGAATTTTAAAGGGGACTTCAAACACACGGTCAGGTCTCTAGATTACAAGTTCAGACATTTAAAAATCCTGTAGTGTTGGGATATGTGTCTATGTCTGTGTGTGCGTCTAACCTGAATACAACTGAGCCTTCTGCCCTCACCTTGAGCTCTCCTCTGTGTCACTTTTTGAAACTGAAATGCAAACTTGAAGGCCATGGAAAATAAGTCAAGGTCTTTACTGGAGGTTTCCTTGGGCTGATGGTGAATGGGGGGATTAGACGACATCACACTCAGCAAAACTCCCTAAAAACTGTGTTATTCTGCCTGTCTCCAAAGCCTCACTCGCTATGACAGCTGCTCCCAAATCTCTCTACTCCTTAAAACAAAACAAGACCTTGCCCTCCCTGAGTCTCTGGTTCCTGCCCTTTGGCTCACCCCCCTCTCAAACCGCCCCAGGCCCTTCTTGTGTAGCTCTGTAAGATTTCCTCCTTTGACAGCTCTAACCAAGGGCTTGGGTGTGTGGGAAGCTTGTCATTAGTCATTTGGTCCCTGTCACAAGGGCACGGTATACAGGAATATGTTGTATGTGTTATATTCTTTCCATCTTTACCTGTTTTCCGGGTTCCCCTGGGAGTTCCATCTCTTCTTCTCCGTGGCTCTTAATCACTGATGTGACGTCACTGCAATCCAGCATGTGGTCCTGGGCTGTGCAGTCTCCTGGGCCTTAGTCAGCTCCAAAGAAGGCTGAGCTCCGCCCCCCCCACCAGCCCGCCATTGCCTCCGTCAGATTTTTGGGTTTCTTCCTAGTGTCTACCCTCTTCCCACTGGCTGCAGGCTAAGGTTCCCAGTCCAGCTTGTCCTCCAAAAATCTAGAGAACAGTGGTTTTGAGAAGCCACACATGTATCTGCTTGCTCTGACCCCAGAAGTCCATCTAGCCAGCCTCCTTTCCTATAACCCAGAAGCCTTGCTCCTTTCATGTCTCCTGCCCTCCTTCATTCACTCTGAACCCTGCCAGGCCCGTCCTCATTCTCCTTGTGCCACCCACATCCCACCTCCTCACCATTGCCTCATCCCCCAAAGTGCCTAATAGTTTTCCAAGCAGGAGGCCTTTAGAGTTCAAGGCAGAGAGAAGACATAAGGGCTTGTGGGGTCAGCCAGGTTGAAGGTCTTGGGCTTTTGGAATAAAAATATCCATGTCAGGCTTGGCCTTGTGCTGCTCCTCCTACCCATCCAGGATACCCTGTCTTTTTGACACCCACCCACCCACCACCCCCATAGTCTTAAGGATAATCTACAGAATCCCTTCAGGGTCCAGAGGTTCCTTCTCCTGAGTCCTGGTGTAAGTTCAGGAGAATCTGGGGCATAATTTAAATTGTTTTGGAAGAGATGAAAGTTAGAGTAATGTGTAAGAACTCCAGGTCAATTAAAAGTGATTTATTGAAACAGGAGGCTGGGTGGCCCCTGGTGGTGATGCAGGTGGCAGAATTTGCTCTCTATCTCCCTCTGGTGGTCAATCGAGGGAGGTGATGGGAGATAATCACCCCTGATGGGCGCCCCACGCTTGTGATTTGCGTGTGGTTACTAGGAGATGAGGATCCAGGAAGGGAAATGATTTAAGGGAGGAAGCCCCAGCCCTCTGTTCTCTGGGAGCCTGAACACCTCTCTGCCTCCACAGGGCGACCTGCAGACACTACAGACACACAGACACATTGGGACGTTGTCTTCTTACCCATTTTTCCTTTTTGTTATTGTTGATTTTCTCCTCAGGAAAGGGACAAAAAAGAAAGGGAGAGGGGTAGGCTACTGCAGTTCACAAGGGTGGCAGGCACCGATCCTGGCAAGAATGGGGAGCAGCCGGCACGCTGGGAGTTATGAGGGCAATGAGAAGGTTCAGGAATGCACTTGGATATGGAGCCCACTTATGGAGTGCAGGACAGCTGGAGCATTTGAGGGAAGTGTTCCTTTGCACAGACATACTCCTAGACCTTCTCTGAGTAAAAGGAGGTGGATCAGCTAGGGAGGAAGACAGGCTGGAGTTGGGGCATGACTGCTTGGTGGAGGGACAGGAAGAATGTGCCCCGAGAGAGCATGTTTTATATCTCCCATGGGAGCTTGGAAGTTTTGGGGTACAGACTGCAGACTGGGAGCTCTACTTCCATAAATTCTCCTCTCTAAATACAGTAAAACCTCTTCTCTTATCCAATAAAAAACTTGGAGGTTTCTTCCCAAAGTCCCAAATCAGCTTTGGGAATGTCTCCAAACTCCTGGCTGCCCAGGCGCTGTTCAGGGTCTCACGGCACTTGTTCAATTTGAAGTTGGGCTGAAGAACTCAAGAAGTGTGTCAAACCAAGGTGTCAGTCCTCACTGCCACCAGCCCCTCCACCGCCAGTCCTCCTACTCATCAGGCTGGTTTGGGCAAGGAGGCCACCACCACCAGCCACCAGCCTAAACCCCGAGAAGCCTCCCCTACCAGCTGAACCTCCCATCACTCCAACTCTTCGTGAGCCCCTGAAAATGCAGTTGGAGTGGGTACTAGAGCTCCTGTCCACTTCATGGTTGATGAAAGAGAGGCTTTCTTCTTCATCTGTGATTGGGCCCTCTTGATGGGACAGGGCCCCCAGATCCTTGTCAAAGAAACCAGGTCCCAGGTGGAGCTTTGAAGCTCTTCCTCCAAGAGAACTTGGAAGTGAAGCACCTCCCCTAGGTCCATGCTGAGCTCCACTCTGCTTGCCCTAGCCCTGGCTGGGGAAGGCCAGCCCCCAGAAGATGGGGGAAGTGGCATAGAGGGCACAGAGGGGTGACGAGCAAGTCACTGTGCTCCCAGGTATAGAGAGGTCCATCCCTCGTATGTCAAGGCTAAAGAGTCCCACTAGGGTCTGGGTCACCTTTAGCTCCTCACCCCAAAAGTCCCTGAGCACCTGAAGTGAAGATGAAAGAGCCTGCCTCCCCCTGGAAGACATTCTAGCCTAGGACAGCCTCCATCTGCACAATGGAGAATGAACTTCATAGGATGCTTTGCATTTGTGGAACCACCAGCTTCCGAGGTAAAATTTAAAATTTTAGCCCTGCCCCTATCCTTGATATCCTCTGCCCATTAATGATAGAGTTGAGCAGAATGGACATGGATTAAGAATCTGGAGACCTGAGTTCTATAGAGCGCTCTGCTAGGAGCCTGCTGTGTGGTCCTGGAGAAGTAAGTGCCTTCCTTTCTCTGGGCCAGAGTGCTCATCCATGAGTGAGGGCTGGAGCTGGAGGAGCTCCCTGGTCCCTTCTAGTGCTCAAACACAATTTTACTCTAGTTGTCCTCCTGCCAGCCCCAGACCTCTCACCAGCTCCGTCTGTCGGGGAAGGAATCCTTTCTCTGTGGACATGGTCAGTAGCTTCTGCTACTCAGCTCTGCAGATGTTAAAGGAGAGGAGAGGAAATGGTGTGAGGGACAGGGGCATGTTCTCTCTCCCTCTGGAGAGCAGGGCATTGTAAGGTGGCTCTGAGAACTGGTGTGTGTGTGTGTGTGTGTGTGTGTGTGTGTGTGTGTGTGTGTGTGTGTGTGTGTGTGTGTTGTGAGAAGGGGTACGACAGGGTTTGGCTTCTGATACATTCAACTTGTAGCTTGGTACCAGAGCTGGCTTCATGGGCATCCAACCTATGAAGTTACACAGGTCCCCATGCTTGGTTTCATGCTCTGCTGTTGCAATCTTGAAGAATAATTCTTAATACTTTTTTAACAAGGTGCCCTGTATTTTGTAACTTGCACTGGGACCAGTAAATCATGTTCCAAGTCCTGCTAACCCAGGGGGCCCATCAGTCACATTAGGGACTGACGTCATCCCCACTCCGGCTCTCACCACGCACAGCCCCTAGCAGGCAGAGGATGTGTCCGGGTAGTGTGGGGTTGAGTTTAATTATTAGAGTCTCCTGCAGTCCTTTAGGACTGAGTGCCCAGGCCCCGCCCTTCGGACTCCCAGAACCTCTGGCTCAAGATCCAGGGCCCCATCCGTCTAGCAGAGAGATGGGAACTGGTCAGCTGGATACTCCTGAAGTTAGGGAGTTCCCTGAGCGAGGGGTACAGGTGTCCCCGCTCTGAGTGGGGACTTCCCCAGGGAAGCGGCCCAGGGTCCTCGGGTCCTCTTCAGCCTAAAGAAGACTTCGAGGGGTCTGAGCTCTTCCTGGTGAAGGCGGCAGGTCACACCCACTCCAGATCAAGCCGGCCCCAGCCGCGCTCA